ATCCCCAATTGGGTTTTCTCATCAAGCGAGCAATTTATACAAGAAGAAGTTGTATAGAGGGGTGAGGCAGAGACAATGGGGTAAATGGGTGGCGGAGATCAGACTGCCGCGGAACAGGATGAGAGTATGGTTAGGAACATACGAGACGGCGGAGATGGCTGCCTACGCTTACGATCGAGCTGCATATAAGTTACGTGGGGAATACGCGCGTTTGAATTTTCCTAACGTGAAGGAGTCGACGTCGTTGGGGTTGATCGGAGACGAACGTAAGTTGAATGCTCTGAGGAGCGCTGTGGATAACAAACTAGAGGCGATTTGTCGAAAGGTTAGGAGAGAGAAAGCTCAAAAGAGGGAGGAGAGGAAGAAGGTTACGGTGGTGGGGAATTCAGGTGGTGGCGATGAGAGTTTCAGCGGGAGTGATATGGGGTCATCCAGTGTTTCGGAAGATGGGTTTTTGAAAGGTGAAAATTCTCCATCGGGAAGTACTTTTTCCGGTGAGTTGACTATGGCGGAGGAGGCGGAGATCGGTGGTTGGTCACTCGCGCGGATGCCTTCTTATGATCTTGATTCCATATGGGAAATACTTGCTAATTAGGACTTAAGGAGTGATAAAATATGAAATATCACAACTTATTTTCACTTTTGACTTTTGAGGGTGTCAACGGTAATACTTATACTTTTGGTTAGAAAATTTTGTTTAATTATATAAATATAATTTTCATCTATACATAAAACTTCGACTTTTGTCTTTTTTTAGTTGTTATTTGGATAAAATTATGGCCCAAATGTTTAAAAGTAATAACAAAATAAATTTTTTGAAAAAAGAAAAATCATTTTCATATTGTTGATTTGATTATACATGAGCAAGTTTCACAAAATAAGATACTTAGAACCTTTTTTAAGTATTGCATGTAGGGGTATAGGTGTTAATCTAATCAATCTGATTGGGTTTTAGATTAATCGGGTCTGATTAGTTGGGGGTTAAAACTTAAAAGTAATTCGTCCTAAACACTATGTGTACTCATGGCTAGATGGTTGCTTGGTGAGCAAATGGAAAATTAAAAGAAAGATTATGAAAATGCAAACAATAAGAACTCCTCTCTTAAAACTAAGAAATCTTGATGCACAAAGTTATTTTTTTCTTTTCGATATTTACTGAAAGTCTTATTTTGCATTAACAGTGTGTTATTTTATTGATCAAATTTTAAAAGAAAATAGGTACTAGTGATTAAAAGAAAATAGGTACTAGTGATTAATCGTTTTGTAGGATGAATAACATGTACAAATTGGAATTGATTCTTTTATTTACCTCTCCCTTTTGGGATATTATTTAAGTTTTTGATATATAGATAAGGTAAAAGTCCTTAAAAGATTTATGAAATGTTAAGAACCCAATCTTTATCATTTTTAAAAGGATGTCCAAAATATCGAAACTGACCATTTTCGTCCCTGTGGTTTAATAAGATAACATAAATGGTTCATGCCAATTCACACAGGGTCGTAATGGTCATAGTTCAAAGTTGTATAGTTTGGTGTTTGTCGTATCTTTCATTTTTTGTTAAGCATTACTCCATATATGTTGATGATGCAATGGCTACAATCTTCAAGGAGCATAAGAGTCCATTAAACCCTTTTAATCGTGGGTTAATTCTATCTCCTTTCTCCAACTTCAACTCTTCTGTGCATCTCTGTCCTTGCTGAACCAGGTAAGCTCTTTGTAATTCTTTTCTTTTTTTATTAGTTTTCTTACAAATTTCATTGTTACAATTGATTTAATATGCATGTTAATAGCAACTTACTATCTATATTTCTTTTTGAACTTCGGATGATCTAATTGTTTTTTTAGTTTTTTTAAAACCTTATGATGCTGAATGTAACATATCCCAGGTGAAATTTTAAAATCATGATTGATAATAACAGCCACTGCAGTAACTTTGATGATTTTACCAATTTACCCTCTTAATGGTCAAATAACACAACTTTGAAATAATGTCTCCTTTTGTCTGTCTTCCTTCTTTGCACTGCTTCCAAAAAATCAAGGATAACTACTTTTGTTTGTGGATGACTGTCAATAACCAAGTTTTAACTGTCACACAACAACAAAAAAAATTCAATATATTTCACTTCCATAATTGGGTTGACTTCAGACGAAAAATGTCCTAATAAGAAAAAAAATTAGAAGTACAATGTTATGATTGGCTAACATTTTTAAGCTTAATGTCTTAATTTGAGGGAAAAAAATAAGAAACTACAATGTTGTAATAAACATACATGAAGGTAGAATGATGTAATAAACAAATATTACAAATTTGGTTCATATGATGTCGTTTTTTTGGTTTAGATAAAAAAAAAAGTTTTTTTTAATGTTGGTCCCTAAGGTGTCATTGATTTTGGTCCCCAGATTGTTACACCTAAATGAGCCGCTTTAAAAAAATAAGACCATTTTGGCCTTAGAGAGACCCCAAATAGTTGGTTTTTGCTTGGCTTTTCTTTGTAGAATATTTGCAACCACTCTTTTTAACTTCAACTATTCATCAACTTTAAGAATTTTGTGTTATTTTGGACGTGATTATATGTAAGAAAAAAAAACGTAGAATCACATCTTTTATTTTGAAGTTACTTTTACTTTATAAAAAACCATGAATTGTTATTATGTTTTTCTTTTTTTTAACCACATACATTATACTTACTTTATTCATTATATGTAAAAATGTTATTTTCAATATGCATAATTCTTACATGTTTATATTAAAATTTTATTTTTAATAAACTCGTATAGTCTACGGGTCTCACACCTAGTATATATAAAACTTGTATTTTATTTTTTTTAGTTGTTATTTGGATAAAATTACGGCCCAAATGTTTAAAAATACTTAAGAAAATTATGACGTGTTTGAGAATATGTAAAGAAACGTATACAAGTGCAGTTTCACAAAAGATATTTTCTGGAAAAAAAATCATTTTCATATTGTTGATTTGATTATACATGAGCAACTTGAATTTGTTTTTAGTATTGCAAGTAGGGTTAGAGGTGTCAATCTAATCAATCTGATTGGGTTTTGGATTAATCGGATCAAAGTTAATTGGGGGTTAAAAATAATTCATTAGAGATCCAACCCTATTAAGCTAGGGTTAGTAGGTTCGGGTTAGTTGGGTTAATTATAAAATAGCCAAAAATTAAGTTGTGTTGTCACGGGACACGATATAAACCAATATTAAAAAAATTCGTTTGAACCAGTCGGTTGAATTGGTCGGACCAAAAATAGGGGATGAGAGCGGTTCAACAACAACCGGTTTTATGTCACTTTCTATATTGGATCTAACCGAACGGTTTCTTCAAAAACCGGGTTGAACCATGTGTGATAGAACCGATAAAAAAAATCATTTGAACTAGTTTATTGGACTTAAATGATTGGATTTCACTTAGCTTATTAAAAAAATCCGTCAAATACAAAGAAAATTGAATAGCTCGATCGATTAGATTATCCAGGGTGGTGGGTGGTGGTGGGGTGAGTGGTGGTGGCGGTGGTGGTGGGTGATGGTGGTAGAGGTTATGTTGTGAAATAAAACAAGGATAACAAGATAAAATACGATTTTCATCATCTTCTTGAAAGAAAGTGTTTTCCTTTATTTGATGGAATGTTTTTTCATTCAGGACTTCAATTTCATCATACAAGGTTGAACAAAACATTGGAATGTGGTGGAATTTAATTCTTTTTCCCCCGAATTTCATTTCATTCCGGCGAACCAAACGTAACCTTAGTTATTGGTTTACAAACCTATTTTTAAAATTAAATCAAGCAAACTAGAGAATTCTTTTTATTCAAATAAAAAACCTAACATCAACCTCAATTCAGTGTAGCATGTTTAATATGAATTTGCTCAATTTTTTAGTTGAGTTGCATGGATTCCCATACAGGGGAAGCCAAAAAAAAAAAGCGAGCAGATCAACAGCCAAACCAGACTTTACCCCACAAGGCAAAGATAAATGAAGTTTTATATACAAGGCATCTCAATCTAATAAGATATTTTTATAATATATCTTTAGGATATTATTTGATAATCATTATCACAAAACTTTTAGTCTTATGAAATAAAGCATATATCTTTTAAAAATCTGTATCATGTTCATACACTTTGCTTTAAATGAATATAGGACACGCGGCTCGCCCAAACATCAAGTAATTAAACCCTAAGAAAAAAAACTGGTTTCACATCTCAACTAATATCTGCCACTTCACTGACTTTTGTCCTTGACACAACTAAAAAGTTTTTTTTTTTTTTTTTTTTTGTCTATTTAATATAAATAATAATAACAATAATAATGATTTTTTTTATCAATGTTTGTATATATAATAACAATGACCCATTTTTGATGTGTACTAAGGCTTTGTTTGACGCGCCACAACTAGCAGATAAACTAACTTATTTTTAGAACTTTTTTAAATTGTCATGAGAAACCAAAAAATAGCTGATAAGCTAGCTTTTTAAGAGCTTTTTAAAATTTTCCCAAATATACCCTTAATTAATTACAAAAAAACTTATTCTTCTAAATGTTTTTTGATGTCATTTTATATCTTTAAGCTAGTTTTTACCAAACGTTATTTTTTATCAGTTATCTTATAAGCTATCAGCTAGATTTTCTATCAGGTAGTTTTTCAGCTACCAGCTAGCTTTTTAGCTAGTCTGCCAAACATAGACTAAATTTATTTTTTGGACTTTGAGTCAACCTGACCCGTCCATAAATTACACCTCTATACGATTATGTTTCACTTGTTCAGTCATTGAAGCTGTTTTACACTTGAAATAAAACCTTCTAATTAGCATTAAAAGCTAATAAGTCAGCAAACTGTCTAGAAGAAAAATAGAGACCCATATGTCAACCCAAAATACCTCTCAACAAAGTCAACAAAACACACAAGATCAAAACTAAACGACCTTGTTAGAATTTGGAATATATAACAAAAATATTAAACAGTAAAAGCAAATTGAACCTTGTCATCACCAGGTTATATAATACCAAAAACTAACATTTCTCATACAAATGATTTTCATTTTTTGGTTCATAAACACTATTACAATAAAAAATATAATACATACTTGTAACTAAACTTGAAACACAATAAATTAAAGAAGACAATGTTACCAAGTCAAGGAGTTTTTTGATTGCTGAACTTTGGCGCTATATGACTCCTCTATCTCTTCCTGAAAAATCAGTGAATTGTTGCATTTTAGTATGGTTACAATATACGAAAAGTAAAAAAAAATGGAAATAAGTTGTTGCTTTTGATGTTATTCATTACCTTGCAAGATTTCATCAAAGGCTGCAAGAATGATCCCCTAAAGTATCTGATGGACTTTCCCATAGAGGTTCTTTCCCATACTGCCATTAATCAAATCCAAAAAATTATTTAAAAGTATATATAATATATATATATATATATATATATATATCTATATAATATATATATATATATATAAAATAATAAATACTCATAATAATAAGACAATGATGTAAATAATATGCTTATAACGATACATCAAGTGGCATACCTTTATCACCTTCTACTTGCAAGCCTACAGTATTGATTTCTTTCAAAAGCTGTGAAATAAATGAACAAATTTAAACAAGTGAAATAATAAAAATTTGAAGCTTCAACGAATTGTTATTATTTATTAAAAAAAAAAAACCTTAGAAAGTGTTGGGACATTGGTGGGATCAAACTCATCACAAACGTCAGGATCAATAGGAACGCAAACACGACCTGGATAAAAAAAAATAAAGAGCATATTATTAAAGAGTAAATTACACCTTTAGTCCCTATGGTATGTCAAAATTTAGTTTTTGTCCACATGTTTCATTTGTCGCAAATGTGGGCTCTAGGGTTTAGTTTTGTTGCAAAACTTATCCCTGATACTAACGTTGTTAGAAAACATCTGTCAAGTCTAGATAAAATGACTATCTTGCCCCCATCTTCACCCCACATTTGACTTTTGAATGCTTTGTAAGTTTTTTTTTAGATTCATAATTTGACATGAAAACTTCCATAAAAATACTCTTTTCTTAAACAAAACATGTATTTCGCTAGTTTTAATTTTATATTTGTTTTCTATAATTTGGTAAAACTCTGTTGTTGATGAGTGGAGATGAAGGAATGAAGAAAATAAGAAGACAAGGGTAAAATAGTCATTTTTCGTTGACTTCACAGATCCATAACTTTTGACATACCACATAAACTAAACTTGTACTTTACTCGTTTTGTAAACATGAAAACTGTTAACTAAAAAAAACAAATATTCAGAGAAAGAGAAACTGACCTGTTTTGGGGTGAATGCAAAAGGGTGCCTTCAGTAAATGATTCATATGTTTTGAAACCTGAGATAATGACTTTCAATGAGTATAATAATAATAAAAATATCATAAAGTAGTGATATTGTAAATAATAATAATAATAATAGTAATAAGAAATAACAACTGATTACTGACCTCCATATCAAGCCTAGGATAAGTGAAAGAAAAGACAATCTCCTCAACACACCTACGAATACCAGTTGCCTATAACATGTAAAATAAAAGCAACATTTTAGTATACTATATAGTATTATTTTTTTTAGATTAAAATTTAAAAATAAAAAAAAATGTGTATACCTTTTGTTTACCAGACTGAAGAAGTTGTTTTAATTGTTCCCATCTCACAACATTAACATCTTTTCCACTAGAAGAGCGCCTGTTGTCTTGCCATTTTCCTCTAAGCTCTGAGGTTATTGCTGCAAGATAAAAATAAAATTATAGACATTTCTTAAAAGTAATATTTCCTAATTTCAATATGTAGTCAAGATTGCATACATTCATCAGGAATCATTTCCAGTATTTTCTCATATCTTTCATCTGAAAGTAACTGCTGGCTACAAAGCAATTTCTTCTCAAAAAAGTCTCTCAAAACATCAGAATATGATCTCCTGCAGAAATTATACAAGGGTTAGGGAAATTTAACTTAATGGGGTTAAAAATGAATTGCTTTTATTCATACTTACACTAAAAAAGGATGAAGTGCAGATCCCACAAGAGAAACCTTTGATTTACTATTGGTGTTACCCTGAACAACAACAACAAAAAAATTGTCAAGAATCTCACACTATAAAAATTAACTAAATGTCTAAATCCAACCTTGTAGACACGAAAATAGTCAGCAATAGCTCCCCTTTGTTCATTATTCAACCTGATATGATACTCAAGACTGGTTATAAAGTTATGGAAAACATTATTAAACTTATATTGTAAAAGTTTTACAGTTTTATTACCTCCTTGCTTTTCCATCACAAACCCAACAATGGACCCCACGTCGACCACTGTATACCCACAGAATATGATTGAAACCAAAATCATCTGACCAAAATGAATATAGAACTAGTGTAAGTTAATGTAAAAATGTAAAACTACATAGATATTGATTATTACCTCTAAGAGAAGTATCAATGACTTTGATAGCAATGGTCATGAGAGGCCAGCAGTCCAAGCAAACATCTGCTCCAGAGCAGCAATATCTTGCATCATCATAATCTGAAATATCCTGGAAACACACACACATTGGTAATTGATCATGTTAAATACTTAAATGGTTGAATTTTAGAGTAGTAGATGTTTAGATTTTATAATTCAATTGTATAACTATAACCAAAACAAACTTACTATATCAAACACTAGCTCTCTTTCCACAGGGGTGAAAATGTTGTCCCCAGATTGTGCGTATGCAAGCCTCTTTGAAGGCTGTTGAAAGATCAAGAAACATGATGAATCAATAAGCAAACAGTAATAAAGAATGTTAGAGAAATGAATCTTACATCAACACTATAAACTGGACCAATATCTATTTTGAATGGACATTTATCTTTGATGCCATTTTCCAGCTCAGATGCACTGTTGAAAGACTGGAACCGAAGATATATATCATTATCCAGTGTAAAAGAAAATTCTCTCCGCCCAACATAGGATTGATCACATGCAGGATGTTTCCCATCTGCACATATAAATCATGAAATTGGTCTCATAAATATTCTCAATTGAAAAAACAATGAACAGAGATGAAAAACATATAACAATAGAAACCAATTTGGTATCTACTAAAAGTTCTTTTCATAGATTACCATTTCCGTATGACAACCATTTGAACATGTCTGCATGAGGGAAAAGTCTTCCTGCCAAAATTAAGTATTTGCATTGAGATCAGAAACTGAACTTATGATATGACCCGATTGATCAAGGCTAAATTTATAACAGAAAAGGCCAGATATTCACATATTAACTAAAACCTTGAGTTTCATTGTTCTTTTCATGTAGTTTTAGCTCACCCTTAATTTGAAGTTCAAGCAGAGAAGTCAAAGTCAAACATCAGCTTCGCGTTTTATGCAAATTCTGATTCATTTCGTTGTTTTGTAACAATATGTAGCAAAAATTTATCTCAAATTTTTATATCTGAATAGATTGGTTCAGAGAGATCTTACTTTTGGAGATTGAAGAAGCAAAATAGAAAACATTAAATATTACAAAGTGTGCCTATTAGCACGAGAAATCGGTTCAGAAATTGAGGGATCTATGAAAATTAATTGCTATCGTGAGTTACCGTAATAAACTTTGAGGTAATTAGGATTGAATTCGTCAGGAATATCATCAAGTTGCTCGTCTTGGGGCTCGGGATCGTCGACTAACATGTCATCTCTTTCATTCTGAGCTTCTTTAGTCATACTTGAACGGAGCGACAGCTTTCACAAAAACCCTAACAAAACCGTCCCCGATTACAGATATCAGGTCAGTAAAATTCACGGATTTCGTAACTTTGAGAAATCAGCTCAGATCTTAAGCACTTGGGGGAAATATAACCAACGAAAATTAAAATGCAGGTGGATGTAAAACCCTAAAATTACTCAAATTAATACTCGACGTAAGAATCAAGCAACACAAAAACATGAAATTAACAGAGTGAGTAGCGACCTGAAAATGTGTTTTTCGGAATCAGAGGCACCGGTGTGGTGGAAACCGTGAGGATGGATTTGGGGAAGATGAAATGGCGGGAAAGGGTGAAGGACATATGTTAAGAAAGGATATTTGGCGGGAAGATGAAATAGTTAATGGTCTTGTGTGGGCTGAAACTGAGTTAACTTGATTAATGGCCCGTATATGGTTTTGGGGCTTCTCAATCTTCCGTAAAACAATTTAAAAAATACTAGTTAAACTGAATGTTTCATGTTTGGATAGAGAACGGTTCCACTTATTATCAAAAGTTCTCAAACATTTTTTAAAAGCTTAATTTTTATATCGCTATAAGCTAAGTTAAAAAGTGATTTTTATTTTAAATAATCACTCCCAAACACCCCCTCAAAGCCCATATGTGAGAACATTTTGACTTGGTTAAAATTACAGATGGCAATAAAAAGAACATAATACGAACAACCTGTCATGCCAGTTATGGCATAAAGAACTTCGATACAGAAACATTGCATTGAAAAATCATTTCTTGCAACAAAAGTCCAACAAACCACCACTAACCCGTATTCTCATAACATCAGTTGACGTCGGTTTTCGACCATGGTTTTAGATCGTGATTAACACCATGTTCTTAAGTTTTAAAACTAAAGAAAGAGAATGAAAGGAAATAAAAGGAAAAGAAAAAATAAATAATTAGTTATGTTCTCGAGTTGGAAGTAAATTGAAGGAAAAATGAAGGAAAGTTATGTTCTCGAGCCGGAAGAAAATGAAAGAAAAATGTCATTTTTATTATTTTGCCCTTGATTGATTTACATATTAAAAAAAATCAATTACCGTATACAATGTATATCATATAATAATATTAGTGTTTCAATCTCGTTAATTACTAAAAATCATTAAACAACTAAATAACTCATGTTTTTATTCCAATTAAAGGGTATGAACCATAATGGTATATGTATAGCATGCATCTTTACTCATGGCTGATCAAACAGTTGATAGAAAACCAAGCATTAATCTAGTGAACAGGTAAACAGCCCCCTCTTCTCTCTTTTTAGACAAAATTGCAAGAATAGTCCCTGTGGTATAGTGAAAATTGCCACTTTGGGCCAAACATGGTTTTGACTAGCACAAATGATCCAAAAGTT